GAAAAAAATATCGGGAAATTCTTTTTTCGGATGAAAAAATTTTTACCGTAGAAGAGAGCTACAACAAACAAAATGATAAGGTGTACGCACACAGTAGTGAAGAAGCGAGCAACCGTATTCCGCGTGTCCAACGAGGTCATTTTCCATCCTCGCTCATGGTATGGTTGGGAGTTTCTTATTGGGGCTTAACAGAGGTACATTTTTGTGAGAAAGGTGTAAAAACGAATGCAGTTGTGTATCAAAATACAGTCCTGACGAACCTTGTGGAACCTGTTTCTCATACCATGTTCAATAACAGGCACTGGGTATTCCAACAAGATTCGGCGCCAGCTCATAGAGCGAAGAGCACACAAGACTGGCTGGCGGCGCGTGAAATCGACTTCATCCGGCACGAAGACTGGCCCTCCTCCAGTCCAGATTTGAATCCGTTAGATTACAAGATATGGCAACACTTGGAGGAAAAGGCGTGCTCAAAGCCTCATCCCAATTTGGAGTCACTCAAGACATCCTTGATTAAGGCAGCCGCCGATATTGACATGGACCTCGTTCGTGCTGCGATAGACGACTGGCCGCGCAGATTGAAGGCCTGTATTCAAAATCACGGAGGTCATTTTGAATAAACTTTAGTGTCATAAGAATCTATGTTTTGTTAAGTTCATTTTGGTATATGAATGGTTACATAATGAATAAACTTGTTTCAATTATTTTACATTAAACATGTGACAGAATTTATGACCTGACTAGGTATAAATCTACAGTGGTTTTTACTGATGTTCTGTCATAACTACTGAACTATGCATCCGATTGACTTGAAACTTGGTATCCATGTAGAAAATAGATGTACTTAACGGATAGGCTAATATTTATATGAGTGGTGGACTCCCTACACCAGTTACGGGGGCTTTAATGATGAGAATCTTTGTGGGGGTGAGAAATAATAATGTTAATTTTAAATGCCTAGCGAAGCGGACGGGAACAGCTAGACATCAGATTTTTGATACGTTTTATGGAATATGATAGTCATCGCAAAAAATAATTGTGAAAAAGGGCAACGCAGACGTTATGCAATACAATTGAGACTTGGACTATATGTCTCAAGTTGAGTAGTGGCATTCACGCGGTGATGTCCATGGGCTCCGGTAGTCACTTAATACTGGCCCTGTATACCTAATCAGCTTAATAAATAGTATACATATATTCCTTTTTCATCTATTTCAATGAGTTTCTATAATTTAGGCAGTATGATATTTTTTTGGTATTCAAATGTAAGGATTTTTTATGCCACATCTCGTTTTCAACTTACCAAAATGAATTTCTTCCGCAGTTTATTTTTCTTCACAAGTTAAGCCGAATATGCTCCGATTTGGTTCCTTTTCGAACAATTTTAATTTAAAAAGTCAACACAATTTCCATAAAACCAAGGAACGTAGGTTAATCTTGTTAACAAAAAGCGTAATCAACTTATCTCGAGAAATAAAGAGGTCTTGTTTTTTGTTGAGGTACGGTTTACATTTCTGAATAAAAGTTTTTATCAATTTCGGTTTGTATCAGTAAAATTATCTTTGTAGAAAAAATTAAAAGGAAAAGTCTACATTACAGATGTCTACATTTCTATGGAGACGTAATCATGTACAATTAGTACAATTAACGTCTCAAAACGTTGTAGGCCGCGATTTGGCTCTACCCCTGGTTGAAGTCCATGGGCGACGGTAATCACTCACCACCAGGTGGGCCGTATGTACATCTGCCTACAAGGGCAATAAAAAAAAACAAAAATAATAAGGTATTCCACTTGTGAATTACTAAGCTAGACGTAATGTATCTGTAAATGGAAAGAAATATTATTTGATAAATAGTGAATGATTATCAATACAATGAAAATAAACAAGAATACCCATAGTAATTAAAAGCAATATTGTTTTAGGTCTATAGGTCTATTTTAATTCAATTTTCTTGTTCAAATGTTATATAAACAGTTGTAGGCGACAAAACAATCTATGTTTATTTGTAGCCACGATAAAGATATGACAGGGTGTAATCAAAATAATTTGATTTGTCGTAATACTTTACCATGCAACAGGCGCAAAAAAAAAACATTTTTTTAAATATCTATATATTTATAAATTGTTCGTTTACATAAGTTACAATCTACAATTTGATAGTTTAATTACACAACCTTTTTGTAAACTACGTCCTTAATTATGGCGACATTTTACAATTTTAACATCTCTGACAATTACACAAAACGTATCTTTGGCTGTCAAGAAATTACAAATTTTACTTCAGATTTTCTATTTACATATTACACAGGTACTATATTTACAAGACTGTTTTTAGTGTAGTACACTAGTATTTACAACAACACTAACATTGGAAAAAATACTTTAATTATTAGAGGATAACACACAAATTATTAAAATAATTTTGTTTTCTTATATATAATAAAAAGATACAACTTTAAGATAGTTCATATTTACAATCTACAAAAAAAAATTTACAGACTAAAGATTGTTTCGTCTTTGACTCGAGATTAATCTCCGAAAGATTTTTATTCGTCTTTAAAGAATTTTTTTAAGCGCATGGTCTTCAAACATCAACATTTAACAAAATCTCTTTGATCAATAAGTTTCTTCAAAGAGATGATTTTTTTCTCATGTCAATATAAATATCGGGAAGTAAACTGTGACAAAGGCAAAAGGACAATAAAACAAAACTCGCCGAAAGCTGTACCCGCGCCAATCTGGCAGATTCCGTATCAAATGAACTTGGATGATAATACTTTGGTGTCTAGTTAATCCGCTTCTCGTCACTGGCGAAGTTTTCGCGAGCAACGCCTTTATTTTGGCAATAAAACAACCCCGACCGTAGACTTTGACAAAGTCTTTTTATTACGCCACAGACTTTGTTCGAACGACATTTGGTAACAAAGAATGGAGAAATGCTTTTAAAATGTCGGAAGTTTGCAAGATTACTTTGCGAGGCTTAAAAAAACATGCAGCAATTAATTGATTAAGCGTCCTTATTTCTTTGAGGACTTTAAATTTGTAAACATCATCANTAAAACAACCCCGACCGTAGACTTTGACAAAGTCTTTTTATTACGCCACAGACTTTGTTCGAACGACATTTGGTAACAAAGAATGGAGAAATGCTTTTAAAATGTCGGAAGTTTGCAAGATTACTTTGCGAGGCTTAAAAAAACATGCAGCAATTAATTGATTAAGCGTCCTTATTTCTTTGAGGACTTTAAATTTGTAAACATCATCACATTGTAAATATTTTGTATTAGATATTAACGAAGTAAGACATGGTGAAAGACAGATTTAGTAATGCTTACGATTTGAATCAAATAAGCATGAGAGAAAAAACTGCGAAGCTATTATGTTTTTAATCAAACTGTTCTCCTAAGTAATCAGTGTTGTATTGAGTCGCAAATTTCATTACAACTAATAAAAACTAATTTTACTTTCTTCGTCTGTTACCACAGAAACTATCAGTTGAAGAGTTTTTCTATATTCCTTTAGATACAAATAAATTCGTCTCTAAATCACAGCGAAAATATGAGTTTTATACGGAGGAGTCATTTTATAGATTGCTCAAAGCGTGTTCCTATGAGCGAGGTACTCCTCAAATCGTTATTTATGAAAAATATGAAGGGGTAGCCGGATAAATTGCGAACTCGTTTCCCGAGTGAGCGCACCGAGGATGGTATCGTTTGAGGATCAAACGGTTCCGTAATTGAGTCATTGCAATAAATTTCGCATTTACGATTGCATTTCATCAATCTAGTAAGTTCACAGTTTAAGTAATCAAACTGATCTTCTCAATAAACTTTTGAATAAGAATTTGAAGAATTCAGTTAAAGTAGTTTGTAATTGTATGTTATTTTTCGTATCTATGTTATTTTATAATTCTAATGTAAAGTTTACAGATCATTATAGATAATTTCCTTTATTAAGGAACTAAAGTCGTTATAACACGAAACAGTAAACAAAGAATAAGATGGCAAAGGGATTAACAGCTCGATGAGCGTGGAGTAAGGTTCAGAGCACTCGAGGATTTGTTTATCCGGCTTGATAGAACGCAAATAATGTGGTTAAGAGAGCAACCGAGCTAAGATACGTAACGCGTAGATAAGGCTCTCCCTTCGATTGAATCGGGGCTCACTCGGTTACGGCATAACGAAATCGATTCAGCCTTAATCCCGGCACCGGAGTAAGACAACGATTGAAGGTAGTTAGACAAAAAAAAAACGAATATTATCGACTGTCGATTGCCTACTGATTGCGCGATTAGATTAGCTATTGGCTCAATATACGAAATCTATAAACAATTCGAAACATCGATTATGATAAAATAAAAAAATATAAACGCTAAATCAATTATGTCTACGACTCGCGAAACATAATAATAAATCCACAGACCTATAATTCAATCAAAACTATTACTTAATATAAAGATCTTTTATAAAGAAATTTACTTCAAAAAAATTATTGTACGTAAAATATAAGAATGGATTCGTTGAATCGACAACAATGCCGTTAATTTTCGAAGAAAAGTTTAAGCTTATTTATTTAAATCGTTGTATTTGCAATGCTAAAACCTCTCAATTTAAAGACAACATTGTCAAAATATATAGGTACGAATATTTTGTTCACATTGTTCCTTTATATACTTTACATTTTCTTAACATTTTCACATATACGTCTCATCATGTATGCGTGTTTGTATCAGAATCATTCAATTCTAGTTTCATCTGCTTACTCTATTGTGGTTTTAATAAATATTGTTAAACATCAAAAGTGTGTACATCACAAAAAAATACAATAGGTTATATCGTTATGGTCAAAGGATGAACTCGACAGGTGGAATTCTACATGGTAGCAAATGATCTCATCGAGTTTGGGCTCACTAGTTTTCCTCTAACGAGTAGAATGCACGGAGCGTGTTTTATTAACTATAGTAGATATTATCATATAACTTCCTCGTTGTTCAGAACTTATTGGAAGACGCGTAAACGCTAATTGGTCATCTTGAAGACATTGTAAAAATCGTTTTATTCTTTAGAGTAATGGTTGCTTTTATGACGGCTAATAAATGGGCGATAAATAAGTAAGTGATGATGATCAGGAGGCTGAAGAGAAGGAGCACCCGTGGTCTTCCGAGAGTGGTGATTGCAACCGTGGTGACGAGGATACCGTTGTTCAAAGACGGAGGCGTTGACCCCGAACTCTGCATTGCTGCTGGTCTTTCCCCACTCAGCACGTGGACTATGACTGAGGCCGATTCTGTGTACACAGTATAAAATGTAAGTACCCTATCTAAAGGAAAGATAAAAAGATAACATAAAATCTTTTGGGGAGACAGTTCAAAGAAAGTAACAATTTAAGTTTTAATCAAACATCGTAATTACTTGATGTTGAATGATTTATTTTTAAGCACTACATTTAATACTAAGTGATTTTCATTGTAAAATTTTTCTTTTTGCTCTAGTAGTTAGTAGTCGACGTTTAATTAAGTTACATAATATTGTTATTTAATTTTAATTGAATTAGGCGGGATTCTCTGTGAATAACTTTGAAATGAAGAAAGAAATTACAGAGGTGTCTTGTAAGTAAATATATGATTTATATAATTAATAACGAACGTCAATGTGCTGTGTTGGTACTTTAGTAGTGTTGTCGAATTAATTGGACTATTACTATACGTGTTCGTGTTCAAATAAAAGAGCTATACATCAATAATTGTGAGTGAGTACTAGCCCAATTTAACTTTGTGCAAAATACAAAATAATTTCGTTAAGTAATTCGACTACAAAAAGTCATTAATGTTATATCGTATAATGGGGACTTGAGGGAAATTAAAATTATTTTCGTAGTTACAAACTTTTAATTGGTTTCATGATGAATCCTTTGATACAATTGCAGGGCTATCATTTAGCCCCGTAGTTTTGTACATGTTTATGATAAAATATTATGGCGCTGTTTAATCGCGATTTTAGTTAAATTTGGCATGTTCATAGGGTTTAACGTAAAGCTGATTACCAATGTAACTTGACCGTGGAGGGTACAATTTATTTCAAATTGGATGAACGCAGTGATTCCAGATAGTATGGATAAGCTTTGCTCCAGTGGCGGGCGTACTGCCCAGGGTACTCATCTCAGAGTGAAATCCCCATAGAACATACCGAGAGAATCGTAAAAAGTCCGCAAAGCTCCTTCCGTAGCCCTAGAGAAACTGAACGATATGTGAGAAGGGCTAAACATTTATCTTCGGTATAAAACGAAATGAAAGTCTAGCTAGTATTTTGGGAGTTCCAACTCATAGATGGCAGCAGTACCTAATTACTAATTTTTGCTTTGCAAAGCACAAGGAATTGTCCAGTCGTAAACACCGCTCCGTCCTGTTGAGGGTGTCTAACATTTGAGTAACGTAATAGTTCTCGAAATTTTATTCGTCTAATATCTACTAATTTTCATTTTTATTTGCAGTCTTTTTGATACTTTATCATGATATTTAGTCACGTAATTTAGTCGTCGAACTCGGAAAAGAGTTCGACATGCAACCTAACCTAAACATCATGATTGATTTTCTCCCCGATCTTCTCAGCGGGTTGCGATTCCGATCCGGTAGTAGATTCATTCGCGAAGCAGCTACTCTTGAGTTGTTAGATCTTCCTTGGAGGCGCTCGGTTAGCTGTCAGCAAATCCCGCCCCTCCTGGCTGAGTCCTTACTCGCCCACCTGTCCTTGTGAAACTGGAAAGGCCTCCGGGCCACCAGTAATCCCTCAATCATAAAAAAAGTCACATAATTATGACTAGGTAGCGCGAATACATGGAAAAAATCACTTAGTATATTTATTGTTTCCATTTAATTCTGTTTACGATTAAAAGCGACAAGTTTCATGACTGTCTTTTATGATTGTTGAACATACAAACTTATTGTATTCGAAAAGTTAAGTTTGTTGGAAAACACCTTTATTTATTTATACATAAAATATAAATCAATATTGTATTTTATTTACGATGGTTCCGTTTCTAAGAATTTATTTCTAGAGTATTTGATAGTACTGCTTATTAAACGATGTATAATGTTATTGTTACTACCAATTTCTAGTACTCAATCACAAATTTTGATTGTGTCGTGTCGCCTGTAATAGCACCAATACATTTCTTCCCGTGGGGGGGACGGAAGAATAGGTAGCAACCTCCTTCAAGTATTATATCAGCATAATGCGATCACATTTCTGTTGGCAAGGTACACTATGAGCCTGCCGAGAAGAGTACTAAGTTTACTAATGTAGTGTACTAATCTTGCTAATTGCTGCCGCGGAGCAGTCGATCTTTCTGGATGGAAAGTGGGACAGCCAATGGCCAGTCTACTTAGGTACATAGTTATCATCTTGCTTCTTGCGGTTCGGAAGATAAGACATTCACTGTTCGTTCTCATATCTGAAGGTGAGTGGCATTCTGGTTGTGGTTCTATAGATTTTATTAAGTACTGGACAACAGGTAGATTATAAGGTCATCTATCCATTTAGTGCAATAAAAAAGAACTTAGGGACTATTTGGCGGGAACGCGAGGAGTGAGGTTGTGTGATTTGTTTTATTTTGTCTATTTAGTGTTTCTTCAGGTTTAAATGTGTAATAACGGTGGTTTAGTAACTGTTTAGTATCTGTCAAAGTGCGCAAATGTGAGAAAATGAAACAAAGCTGGACGTAACGTCTCGAGATCCTCCAAAAAGTCCACTGTAAAAATCTTAGTAAATGACCACCATTTTACTAAGATTATATTTCATCCCATATCATTTCACCTCATTTCAGTTCAGTTGATTAATGTTTTCAAATTAATCATCTTCATTTCAATTCATTTCACTCAATATTGTCATTTTTCATAAATATAACAATATTAATTAAAATAAGATTAAAGGTCTTAGTTAGCAGGTCATAAAATCCCATAAAAAAAAAGGACTTAGTCTTACCAGAACTACTCGGTGCACAAGTGTAGTTCCCTGAATCATGCGGTGAGGCCCTTGCTATGAGGAGTCGACTTGTTCTCGTCCGCTGTTCTGTTTCTACGCTGATGCCCCCTCGCTGTGCGTAATTTACCACCTGCTCGCCTCGGTACCAGTAAATAAAGCTGAAAGATATCGTCTTTGATAACCTTCGTAATTGAGTTTTCGTTCTTGCGAAAAGAATCGGAAAATTCTATTACGTTCTGGAGGATTCGAATTTTGCCCCTTTATAAAATAAAAATTCGATTTTCTTTGGTATTATTAGGTTTTTTTTTTAAGTCAAATTCTTTCGCACCATTTTTTATATCGTCTAATTTGTATTACATTATTAGTTTTAAAATATAAATAAATAGCTCCAATATTCATTCGTTATGGAGTCAGAAGCAAACACGAGGCTTTTAAAAATTAATGAACTAATGCCAAAGTGATTGGCTTAGTCATAAACGTCACAGTCTTTAATTTTATTTGCGAGGCATAGTAAAAAATGCATACATAGTACGAAAAATAATCAATTTCTCATCGCGACGCAATTTTGAGGACTCTCAGCAATCGAATTATTGGGTTCAAAATTTCGTGGATTTTTCATTGGGATCAATGCGTTCATCCACAGTGCATTGCCAGTAATCAGCTTCAGAATAAACTAACGAGACTAGCATTGACAACACCTATGAGGGACGGTTACTATAATATTAATCACACATTGGCCTGTATTTTTATTTGTCTGACGAGTGATAGCAATAAAAAAGTTCTCTTTAAACAGAAAAACCGATACGTGCGTAACAAGCACTAAAATATTATTATCATGCTAATCCAACAAACTTCCTTTTCACGTTTTGCATAATATCATTTCGACAAGAAGAAAAAAAACAAATTCTTCATAAACCGGTACTCGCGAATACCGTAAATAAAGGCCTCGGACATATCTTACATACAATCTGGATATTGGCAGTCGATCCCTGGTTTTATTAGAAACTTTATAGAAGGACATATCATGCTTGCGTACATTTTTACAACCGGTGTTACTACTATACGCGGCGCATGATATTTCTAAATAAAAATGTTACACCGCATCAATATTTAAATTGAAGGACCTCGGGTATCGTCACTTTTACCGATATTTGCGTGTTATTACCGAATAGTAAAAAAGAATCGAAAAAAAGGCACAAATCCCGCTAACGACCGTAAAAAATAAACTTGTAATTATATCATATACAAGTTACAAACACTAATGTTTTGCCTGTTTGTCCACCGAGCAAAAATTCCCGCTCAATAAATCTTCTTTCCCTTTAACATTCCGTAGTATTTCGAATTAAAAGTTTCCTTCGAACAATGCATAGAAATCACTTGCAAATAATACATTTAGTCCGAAATTATATGTATCTTAAAACTGATATTGTGGTTTTGTCTGCAACTTGAATTCAGGTGAAATGTAATTAGAGCATCATGTTGTATAATACATACTAGATGATGACCGAGCTTCGCTCGGTTTTTTTTTGATAACGCCATCTTGTTGTGTCTTTAAAGCGGTTAGTTGCCCTCAATTAAGAAAAATAGTATTATTATTTGCCAATAGATGTCAGGAAGAGTTGATTATTGAAAACACGAATAAAACAACATTTTCTGAAAATAAATCGTAGCTAGATCGATTTATCGCCCCCGAAATCCCCTGTATACTAAACTTTATGAAAATCGTTGAAGCCGTTTCCGAGATTCAGATTATATAAGTATATATTAATATACAAGAATTGCTCGTTTAAAGGTATAAGATAAATAAATCAAATAGTTTTTCAATTTAAGACGTTTTTAATAAGACCCAGTGTATGTATTAAAAATGTTTTGAATTAATAAAATCAAATCCGTTTTCATATCGTACAAAGTTGAAAAGGTCGTCATAATGTTTTAGCTGCTACGTGACGCTAAGCGATTTCGTGTAATGATGCTTTTAATGTTCGTTTTTGCTAAGAGCTTCTACGTATATTAGTGTTTTAATATTTGACGAGAACCGTTATGCGAAGTATTTAAGAAATTTAGAGAATTTAAAAAAAGAGGGCAACGCTTTTATTAATCTCCGTAGACTAATAAGACAAGTTTAAAATTTCATATGCAAAATCACTAGTTGCCGCAAGGAGTAAACATAAATGTGAGCAAGTCCGATCTTTCAACTTCTCGAATAAATGGCCATAGCTACCTTTACACCGTACGCCAAGGGTTGTGTCAATTATCGTGATTAGATGATCTCGTATAGTAAAGTGAGAGAGGTATTGCTCTATAAAGTTACAGAACAATAAAGGGGAAGAAATGTTGTTTTATTTTACGAGCACACTCCGAAATTAAAGAATAAGGGCGGCGCGTCCTTTTGTTTTTCGAAATAAGAAATTTGAAGTGGTTCTTTAACGCTCGGCTCTTGACTTGTCTTTGATGTATGGCTATAAAGTCAGGATACCTAACGCTGAAAATTTCGTAAAGAATTTAGTACATCAGTGAGTGAATTATCAGTTTTGCTGATTATTTTGTCGTGTAGCCTGAACTATGTTATGTCATACATATTTCATTACTTTTCTACATATTTATCTACAAAATATTGAACAAAAATATCGCTGGTACCGTTCATGAAATCGATATATTCTTAAATTCGCTTTGAGATTCACTATAAACTTACGGGAAAGCTTAAAGATTATGAAATGGAATTACCTATTTTTCTTGACGCTATGAGAATACATTAAGGATGCAGCATCTCATCAGCGTGGGGAAAGGGGGGACCATTCCGGAATATGCAACGGACTCTTATATGTGAGGTGGAACTCATTAATAAACCTTCTATCTTATACTTTGTCGTTCTTAAACCGGAAAAAACATCGTTTCTCTTGACATTATAACTCATAAAAATTCAGTGGGTACTAGAATAATATGCAAATAAATACACGCATGTAGCCAGTCACACACAGTTGAACACATATTTAAGTGTACTGGCAAATTTTACTAAGGCATTTGATAGTTCAGTATCAATTTCCTTTTTTAATTAAACTATAAACGGAATCCTGGTATTGTTTAAGAAAACGAAGACAGACTATCAACGCTCTTTACACTATCGTACAAGTAGTTTCTGAGATAGATAACACAAATAGAAACTGATTCGAAATTTTCTATTTTACTAATGTTTATTTTATTATGCGCAATGTATTACAGTTATAAATTAGAGAACTATCACGAGAGAAAGTCGTCCATCAGCTGTCTTTTACCTAACTTACGTGACTAATTGAAGTCGTCGTGGCCTAAAGGATAAGACGTCCGGTGCATTCGTATCTAGCGATGCAACGATGTTCGAATCCCGCAGGCGGGTGCCAATTTTGTTAATGAAATACATACTTAACAAATGTTCACGATTGGCTTCCACGGCGAAGGAATAACATCGTGTAATAAAAGTCAAACCCGCAAAATTATAATTTGCGTAAATACTGGTGGTAGGACCTCTGGTGAGTTGTAGATGTCTATGGGCTCCAGTAACCACTTAACACCAGGTGGGCTGTGAGCTCGTCCACTCATCTAAGCAATAAAAAAAAAAGTGTTTTTGACTACTTACTGACAGCGCTGGATCCAATTTCAATGAGAATTGATCGTCCAACGGAGAGTATAAATATATAAAACTTCTAGTGTTTTCTATTTAAATCCAAATTTATATTAAGGCTAAGGTATAAGGTTGGTCGCATAATTCTTACCTCGGTGGGTCAGGGGCGTGTTTCGCGACACAAGTGAGATTGATGTCTGAACCGGCCCTGACGAACAGCTCGGGTCCCGATAATATCTCGGCCTTTGACACTGTTGAAAACACGTACGTTTTGTAAATATACGTATTAATATATTGAAGCAAAAACTTTGTATCCCTTTTTACGAAAATTACGCGGACGGAGGAGTACGAAATTTTCAACACTTATAGAGAATACAGAGAAGAAGTGCACAATGCTAATATTTTTTTAAAATAATGCATAAAAGATACATTAAATCAATAAAGAAAACATTACACACACTACATACCATGTATTTGACGCACACACGCATGCATACTATTTATTGTCAAACTTTTGTTCTTGACGTCTGTGGTCAAATTGAGAATAGATTAAATATTNAAATTTTCAACACTTATAGAGAATACAGAGAAGAAGTGCACAATGCTAATATTTTTTTAAAATAATGCATAAAAGATACATTAAATCAATAAAGAAAACATTACACACACTACATACCATGTATTTGACGCACACACGCATGCATACTATTTATTGTCAAACTTTTGTTCTTGACGTCTGTGGTCAAATTGAGAATAGATTAAATATTGTTTGTCTTTATTAATATTTCTTTATAATGGCGAAATTTGTGATTATAGAAGTATAAAATACAATCATAATAGTGCACAAACTTACAATTCCAATTAATTATAGTCGAATTTAGACTACTGCGGGACCTCTAGCATTTATAAATACACGTGAAGCGTTTAAGACGAGGGTTCGAGAACTGTTTCTCAGAGAGTCAGCAGAGTCATCTGATTGTGAATATTTATTTATATGTATTTTTATATATATGTATTTATGTTTATCGACGCTTGAAAGGTAAACGTGACTAAGCGACAATAACTGCATTGTACATAAATGATAGGCAATAACCATATTCGATGCGCAAAAAATATATATTTCTAGGTCTATTAAATTCATTTCAATCCTACAGCTAGATTCGTTAAAATATTTTTTTTTTCAGGTATATCAACTTTAAATTAGTCTACTGTAAAGTTCGCGAATTGTCGCTTAGTCACGTTTGCCTTTCAAGCGTCGATATGTATTTATTTAAGTAGGAGTATTTGTATGTATAAATATTATGTATGTTATATATGTTTAAGTAATATCATTATCACACTACACCTACCAAAGTTCATCTCTGCATCCCCGTAAGGTAGACTATCAGAGAAGGCCTATGGCATTAAGTCCGCCTTTATACTATCTAGTATTTAAAGTTATAAATAAATAAATATCTGAGTGTGAGAATGAATTAGGCGAAGTTGTGTAACGCTCGTGAGGCGCCGCATCTAAGCGCGTCATGCATGCTTTTCCTACACGCGTAAGGTCAAGTTATGTAAACATCGTGTTTCCATACAGAAAAGAGCCGTTCGGATTGTCGATAATCCCATTCTCACGGATCGTTTGGAACCTCTGGGTCTGCGGAGGGACTTCGGTTCCCTCTGTATTTTGTACCGTATGTTCCATGGGGAGTGCTCTGAGGAATTGTTCGAGATGACACCGGCATCTCGTTTTTACTATCGCACCGCCCGCCACCGGAGTAGAGTTCATCCATACTACCTGGAGCCACTGCGTTCATCCACAGTGCGTTTCCAGAGGTCTTTTTTGCCACGTACCATCCGGCTATGGAATGAGCTCCCCTCCACGGTGTTTCCCGAGCGCTATGACATGTCCTTCTTCAAACGAGGTTTGTGGAGAGTATTAAGCGGTAGGCAGCGGCTTGGCTCTGCCCCTGGCATTGCTGAAGTCCATGGGTGACGGTAACCACTCACCATCAGGTGGGCCGTATGCTCGTCTGCCTACAAGGGCAATAAAAAAAAAATTGTTTACTAGTCATTTGAAGGTGTATTGTAAGCCATCATAGCTCCCGCATTCTACCTATTTCTATCACGAAAAAGCCTTTGTTTTTGATGGAAGGACACAATGCACTTGTGACTTCGATCTCATGTAGTAAAAATAGACAGGACACTAGAAATGACCGTAGAATCATATTCAATCAATCATCAATTCAATCATCAATTTGTATAATTGAATATTATATTCATACAATACTTCTGTAATCTCTTATATCTTTTTTTTATTGCTATTTAATAATGCTTTCACTAACTCTTTGGAATATTGAAACAAAGGCTGTTTACAAAGAATATAATCATATGCTTTTATATTCCTGGAAAGTTTTTCACTGAACAAGAAACTTCCCGAGTTACGGGAGAAAGAAAAAAAATATTCCCGAAAATTTCACAAGTATACAAAATGAAGAACAATTTAAATGGCGAGTAAAAAACAAAGAAGTAGACTGACTCGAGCTTACATAACAATGAAGTATCTTGTTTTGCGAATAATAATAGTATAAGCAAAATTTTATAATATTCTTTGTTTTTTAACGACTTGCTTTCTTGTGAATTTTATGTTCGAATATTTGACAAGTTCACTGTACATTATTTTAACTAGCAGCAGCTGGCTTTCTATACCTATACCGGTTTAAGTAATGACTATTAATATGCGATATTTCTCTTTGTAATTAAAGATCCATTTTAATTGTTATTAGTATCAACAATTAGATCTTTTTAACTGAACGTCAATTAAGTTTACGCAATTCGTATAGCTGAAGAATATATTTATATTATTTTGTTGTGATATTTTTTCAAAATTTAAATATTTTTTTATTGCTTACGTGGGTGAACGCACTCACAGCCCACCTGGTGTTAAGTGGTTACTGGAGCCCATAGACATCTACAACGCAAATGCGCCACCCACCTTAAATTATTATATATACCAAAATTATAAATGGCTCCCCTGTTAAGGTGCAAAAAAGTCGCTTACTCCAAATAGTGTTTCTCCTCTCGATATGCTAAGCATTGGTTTCTCATACTTGTACTAAAACGTGTAGTACAATACCGCATTTTAGGTTGACTGCTGTATTATAATATAGTGTATAATAAATAGGTGGATTGCTATTGCGCCCTTACTTATCGGATGGTGCAGCAGTGATTTGAATATTTTATTTATTTTAATTATACATACATAATTGTTATTTTAATACCAGCTAAGCAATAAAAAAAACTTAGTTTTAAGAGATTTACTACATAATGAGTCATGGTTATCGTAATAAATAAACTTTAAAAATTATTTTAAAAATATTTATTATTATATTGGTAGTTGTAACTGATGTGTTTATGTTTTAACTGTATTTATTATTCGAGGACGGATAATACAGTCTTTTTTGATAACTTCTGACGGTGAATGAGAGGAATTATGTATCAATACTTTTACGGTTCCTATTGCCTTCTGTTTAAGTTAGTTTCGGGATTGAAGAGAAAGTTATTTTCCCTCAGGCTACCTGAACGTTAAAGTTCAGAGTATTTTTGTGTGGTTGCAACTGTGTATCTTGACTACACAGAAGTTACTGTGATGAAAATGAGAGGGGGGCAAATAAACCCTGCCCGTAACCCTCCTCCCCTTTCAGCCGCGAAGTATTCACGTGTTCCAGTCTTGGAAGTGTTTTTTTTCCCACCTAAGCTGATAGTCTTGAGAGGCTATGTCAACGTAACCTAACAAGTAGGTGAGCTCACGGGGCTCAAACCTGACGACGTTGCTAACACTAACCCTAGCAAGAGCAGTGCTTCGCAGAGTAGAAGTGTGATAGGTGTTCTAAAGTAACTGAGACTGCGAAGCATTATTTAAGTCATGTATAATAATGCGTTTCGGTTTGAAGGGTGAGGCAGCCGTTGTAACTATACTCGAGACCTTAAAACTTATATCTCAAGGTGGGTGGCGCATTTACATCGTTGACGTCTATGTGCTCCAGTAACCACTTAACACCAGGTGGGCTGAGAGATCGCCCACTCATCTAAGCAATACAAAAATAAAAAATACGCATAGTCGTCGTCATCAATGAACTCACCGACAACCGTGAGTCGAAAGGAGAGACTGATTTTAGGTTCAGTTGAGACTTGACATTCGTAGGCGCCGGAGTCGCGTGGCTGCGCTGGCGACACTCGCAGCGTCCACTCGTCGGAGCCGTCGGCGTGCAATGCGGCAAAACGTGCGTCACTGCTGTACGTGTGGACGCCGACCGTGAGAATGTGCAGGTCTCGTTTTCGAATCCAGGATACCTAAACAAAACAAAAGATCTTTCTTAATCGATGTCAATATACGCTACAATAGAGCGATGAAGAACTAACAACTTCAGTAGTAACTAGGAAAAACTACAAATATTTTGTTAGTGTCTCTTCTATTACAGTTTCTAAGGCACACCGAATATGTTAAAATGTGTTTTTTTTTATTGCTTAGATGGGTGGACGAGCTCACAGCCCACCTGGTGTTAAGTGGTTACTAGAGTCTATAGACATCTACAACGTAAATGCGCCACCCACCTTGAGATATTAGTTCTAAGGTCTTAGTATAGTTACAACGGCTGCCCCACCTTTCAAACCGAAACGCATTACTGCTTCACGGCAGAAATAGGCAGGGTGGTGGTGCCTACGCGCGCGGACTCACAAGAGATCCTACCACTAGTAATTACGAAAATTATAGATTTGCCGGTTTGATTTTTATTACACGATGTTATTCCTTCACCGTGGAAGTCAATCGTGAACATTTGTTGAGTACGTGTTTCATTAGAAAAATTGGTACCCGCCTGAGATTCGAACACCGTTGCATTGCTCAACACGAATGCACCGGGACGTCTCATCCTTTAGGTCACGACGACTTTTTAACGCGTGTGATTTTGAGCACCCAATAAACGAACTAATGTGTTTCTAGTACTACCAGATAGAAAGTAACACTTGATCTTGACACGTAAGGAGTTATCAGTCGAGCTATTCACATTTAATTTGCCCATATTTTAATGACTATGGTGCTATGTACATTTTCATTGAAAATATTTATCAACTTACAAAACACTATCCGGGCGTTACCAGTGAGCAGCTGAGGAACTAAATAGTTATATCATTTTTGTGATTTTTGGAGTTTACTCCTTTAGAATCGATTTACATATATAGGCCCGGGGTATGAAAATTATGGGGACCAAAATCGTACTAGCATGTCACACGAAATGCGTTATGCGCCTGCGCCGGCAGTCCGCCACAAAGCCTCGTACTGATCGCGCGTTTCTCTCATTATTGTATTTTCNGTTGTTCTAAAGAAACTGAGACTGCAAAGAATTATTTAAGTCACGTATAATAATAATATACGCATAGTCGTCGTCATCAATGAACTCACCAAAATAGCCTCTCAAGACTATGTCAGCGTAATCTAACAAGTAAGTGAGCTCACGGGGCTCAAGCCTGACGACGTTGCTAACACTAACCCTAGCAAGAGCAGTGCTTCGCAGATTAGAAGCCTGATAGGTTTTCTAAAGCAACTGAGATTGCGAAGCGATATTTAAGTCATGTATAATAATGCGTTTCGGTTTGAAGGGTGAGGCAGCCGTTGTAACTATACTTGAGACCTTAAAACTTATATCTCAAGGTGGGTGGCGCATTTACGTCGTAGATGTCTATGAGCTCCAGTAACCACTTAACACCAGGTGGGCTGTGAGATCGTCCACCCATCTAAGCACAAAAAATAATAATAATAATAATAAAATGCGCATAGTCGTTGTCATCAATGAACTCACCGACAACCGTGAGTCGAAAGGAGAGACTGATTTTAGGTTCAGTTGAGACTTGACATTCGTAGGCGCCGGAGTCGCGCGGCTGCGCTGGCGACACTCGCAGCGTCCACTCGTCGGAGCCGTCGGCGTGTAACGCGGCAAAACGTGCGTCACTGCTGTACGTGTGGACGCCGACCGTGAGAATGTGCAGGTCTCGTTTTCGAATCCAGGATACCTATACAACAAAAGATCTTTCTTAATTGATGTCAATATACGCTACAATAGAGAGACGAAGAACTAACAACTTCAGTAGTAACTAGGAAAAACTACAAATATTTTGTTTTTGTCTCTTCTATTAGAGTTTCTAAGGCACACCGAATATGTTAAAATGTGTTTTTATTTATTGCTTAGATGGGTGGACGATCTCACAGCCCACCTGGTGTTAAGTGGTTACTAGAGCCCATAGACATCTACAAAGTAAATGCGCCACCCACCTTGAGATATTAGTTCTAAGGTCTCAGTATAGTTACAACGGCTGCCCCACCTTTCAAACCGAAACGTATTATTGCTTCACGGCAGAAATAGGCAGGATAGTGGTGCCTAGACACGCGGACTCACAAGAGATCCTTCCACCAGTAATTACGCATATTATAATTTTGCGGGTTTGATTTTTATTACACGATGTTATTCCTTCACTTCGTTTTTTTTTTTTTATTGCCCTTGTAGGCAGACGAGCATACGGCCCACCTGATGGTGAGTGGTTACCGTTGCCCATGGACTTCAGCAATGCCAGGGGCAGAGCCAAGCCGCTGCCTACCGCATCGTAGTAGTAAGTAAATCGTGAACATTTGTTGAGTACGTGTTTCATTAGAAGAATTGGTACCCGCCTTCTTAACCTTTAGGTCACGACGACTTTTTAACGTGTGTGATTTTGAGCACCCAATAAACGAACTGTGTTTCTAGTACTACCAGATAGAAAGTAACACTTGATCTTGGCACGTAAGGAGTTATCAGTCGACCTATTCAGATTTAATTTGCCCATATTTTAATGACTACGGTGCTACGTAAATTTCCATTGAAAATATTTATCAACTTACAAAACACTATCCGGGCGTTACCAGTGAGCAGCTGAGGAACTAAATAGTTATATCATTTTTGTGATTTTTAAATAATGTTTCTCTCATCTGAATATGAGATGCTTTAAAGGCGCAGTAATAACCACTCATTTGAACTTCGGCGTAATACTCTCATCCTCTCATCTTTATAATTTTCCACGTAATCCTCTATAAATTATGCTATTTTATGAATTTAATGGGTAGCGCTTAAAGGATTTCATTGCTATCCTAAACTGAAGGGTTGTGGTCATTTTAATGTCGAAAAGGGTTGAAAGAATGTGACGTACCTGCTTTGAACATATTTTATTACGGGTATATGCTAAAGTATTATCCGTTACTTAAAAAAAAAAACTGTATACATAATGTTAGAAAATAATATGATTTAATACATATAATATTAACGTTAAAAGCGTTTGCTATTGTAAAAAAAAAATTGATAATAATAAAAATGATTCGTAGAATTTATTCGAAAATTCCGAACACCGTATCAAATCAAAATAAGAATAATTCATTTACCACAATTAGGCACGAAAATTGCTTTGTGACGTCGCTCTCCGCAGAACTAATTGTCAGCGCATTTTTTCATCGCTTAATGCGGTCACATCGCGCGACTCAATTCGAATTTGTATTCGAGGCGATTCTCTGCTGGCGGGTTTAAAAACTTTCTTCAGTTTAAACCGTGGCGGAGACAACTAACTGGATATAACTGGATATTCTCGACGATTCTTTCTCTCTCTACGCTGAAGTTTTTATGGGTCAAGCCTAGATCAAGCGGAATTGAACTCGGTGCAGAATAAAATAGTATTGTCGTTGTTTTGCAGATTGTATTATTGAGATTACGGCGACTCTTTCTCTGAGCGTATTGTGATTTCTGAATACCCGGGGATATAGGAGATAACAGAACGCAAGAGTTTTGATGCTCGAGCAAGATGCTATGTAAATTCAGATCGGTGTTTTTGTGACTATTATTGTTTACCAAAATCCTAGCTTAGATAATATGAAGTGTGTTTCACGAGCGCTTATGGTAGACCAGATGATTTATTAACATTTGGTATATGATATTGGTGACATTGTGAACAGTACCATACGATAAAGAATCAGCATACGTGTAAAAAAAAAACGAAATGGGCGAAGGCTAGGTAGGTGCGGTAGGCAGCGGCTTGGCTCTGCCCCTGGCATTGCTGAAGTCCATGGGCGACGGTAACCACTCACCATCAGGTGGGCCGTATGCTCGTCTGCCAACAAGGGCAATAAAAAAAAAAGGCTAGCATTTTAAAGTAGAAACTAAACTTATAACTTAAGCGTCGAAGTGTAGTCAGAAATATCATACAACTCAATCAGCATATTTTGTTTGAGCCGTTTTCGTAAGAACCTTCTTAAAACTTTCGACCAGATTATAGATCTTCAGAAAGTTCCCAGGTATAATTTTCAAGTGCATATCGCAATAAGTATTTGTTGAACAAAAACTCAATTCGAACAAATTTTTTGAGTGTTATTCAACAATATCCAAGCCTTGCATTTGAGTTTTTCCATTCTTGATTTCGATTTTACGTTCCCTCTTGTGTAGCGATCTTATTAGATCCAGTTTTAGTGAGTTTTAAGTTTCGTCTATAGGCTGGCCACTAGGACACGACAAAGTTGTAGGGTTTCTGTTTTTTTGGCATTTGACTACGGAACTCTAAAATCTACATGCAAAGACTTTATTTATCATCCCTAACAGAATTCCAATTTGTTCGACATTTTCGTTCAATTATTTTCATATTTAATAAATTCGTAAGTAGCTCGTTAATCTTTATTATGTACCAACGTGAAAATAAAGAGGAAAATAACACGAAAAATCTGGAACGGCTTCCCCCCACCTTTGGCAGTTTTTCTTTCACGAGCGCGGATAAAATGTGAGCGAAGTTAGATGAAGTGAATCGCCAGTAATCCACGCGCGAATGACTCAGCTCTTCACTAGCAATTTGGACACTATTCAGGGAGCACTCACAGCGGAAACCACACAGAAGATTGCCCATTCCCGTGAATGGTGCTACGCTAAATGTCCAATACCGCCTGTTAAGCTTGTACTAGGCAAAAAATGTAATTTCATTTACCTACATCAGATATTTAACAACAACTTGGTTGGAAAGTTTCACTACTACGCGAATCGTTTTCGTTGTTCCTGAATCTGTTTTTAGTTTTGTTTTATAAATTACAGTATTCTTAACATAATATGAATATAACATATTTATAAATAAAGTGGCCGTTTTTAATAGGCTTTTATTAGCTTCAGACGTATGTAACTTTGAACATGATTTCGACCCCCTTCAAAACGTCGGATTAACTCGAAATTTGGTATAATTATTAAGGACTGATCAATGACAATTCAATATTTAAAAAAAATGTTTTTTTTTGTTGAAAATGTTGTAATTCACATGAAAAATGAAAAATAAATAATAGTAAATAAAATAAAAATAAATAAGTAATATTTATTTTATGAGTCTCTTGAATAGAAAATAGTTAAGTCACATAAAAGCGAAATATGTTTTTATATGAAAGTATCCACGTAGACGTCATGTCTAGTCTTACTCGTACAAAATAGTTTTAGTGGGCCAAACACGAGGACTCGCGCCGCCCGCCACCGGAGTAGAGTTCATCCATACTATCTGGAGCCACTGCGGTCATCCACAGTGCGTTTCCAGAGGTCTTTTTTGCCACGTACCATCCGGCTATGGAATGAGCTCCCCTCCACGGTGTTTCCCGAGCGCTATGACATGTCCTTCTTCAAACGAGGCTTGTGGAGAGTATTAAGCGGTAGGCAGCGGCTTGGCTCTGCCCCTGGCATTGCTGAATTCCATGGGCGACGGTAACCACTCACCATCAGGTGGGCCGTATGCTCGTCTGCCTACAAGAGCAATAAAAAAAAAATCACACAACTTCACTCGTCGCGTTCCCGCCAAAAAGTGTGTGTTTACTATCATGCTATGCCTGTTACAGACAGTACACAGAAGCGATAGACTGGTTGTCGTCGGGCGGCGAGCTCACCGAGAAGCAAGTGTACAAGCGCGCGGTCGCGAGCCTGGCGCAGGCGACGGCGCTGTCGGTGGAACTGTACCACAAGGCCGGCGAGATGCTGCTGGTGAAGCCGCGTCGCTCCACGGCAGACGAAGCTGACGCCCTCACTCAGTACGAAGAAACGTTTACATCAACTTCGATCTGTGTGCTTAGTGCGAGTTTTTTAACGTTCTCGATAGCGTAAAATTTAACTCAAATTCGTATGCAGTTGGAACAGCGCCCCTAACGGCAAACGTTCCAACACTATACAAATTTGCATTAACTTCAAAGTCGTCGTGGCCTAACGGATAAGACGTCCGGTGCATTCGTGTTGAGCGATGCACCGGTGTTCGAATCTCAGGCGGGTACCGATTTTTCTAATGAAATACGTACTCAACAAATGTTCACGATTGACTTCCACGGTGAAGGAATAACATCGTGTAATAAAAATGGAACCCGCAAAATTATAATTTGCGTNGAGCATATGCTCGGTGTAAGTTTACAATGAAAAATGGCACTAGCTCGCGAGACTCGAACGACATATTCCCATTACTTGAAACACGGAAACCGAGCGTCTCATTTATTAGGCCAGAGACGCTTCAAGGTAATGTGAATCTCTTTGGAGATGGTGGCGTAATTAATATATTGTCACATTGAAGATACATGTTAAGGTGATAGAAATGAATAACGAGGTTTTCATTGAAAGATGAGCGATGGGTGTTCGCGGGATAGCGACATAAGTGTCAGACTACCTGCATTAATCCATTGTATTATTGCATATCCATTAATGCATTGTAACCATTACATACATACAAATAACATTGAATACATATATAAATTATTGAATTTATCCTATCTATCTTCAATGCATAGATATAAGTGTAGATCAATCTTTAGAGGTAGGTATGTATGTTGGTCTTTTATGCGATTTCATCCGATTGTGATGGAGCTCCGTACGCTATTCACTAGACAAGTTTTCCCAAGCAGTTTAAAGAAATCGATGTTTTTTCATAAAGTGATTAATTAAATCTTACCTTCAAATTCATTGTGCACCTGACACGTAAATAAATAATATATTATTAAATATAAATATTAAATATTTACTAACAATCACGCTACGTTAACTGGTCCCGTGGTAAGTTCGTAAAGAAGTTGTGTAACAGGTACTAGATAACGGAAATAAATATAAGATTTTTATTATACACATACATATATTTAATATACATCCATAACGCTGGAAAATACATTTTATATTTTTCATACAAATATCTTCCCTCGGTGGGATTCGAACCCGCGACCCCCTTGTGTAGTGACCATGTCACTTACCACTACACCAGACGGCCGTCAAATAAAATATATTCAAAGAAATAAGATCGAAAAAACTTCAATTTATGATAGAAAACCAAACTAAAAGAAAATTTACATGTAGCTATTACGTTACATAAGCAAAGGTCCACAAAAGGTCTAGGTCTTTTGTTTCAATTACCGTCCTTGTAGGAAGATAAACAAGAACGATTTGTCTTTCCTGTTGACATTTATTATGAGCAGATTTCGTTCGTTTGATATATGATGTTTACTGTATATTAGGATGATCCTACGTTGCGGGCGGCTTCTATTATTTGTATGACTGATTATTCCTAGTGTTTTTATTTAATTTGCTAATGTAAGGTTACATTGAAAATTGTATGTAAATGACGTTATATTACCTCCACATGTGTGTTCATAAGTGATAATCATTAGTTTGGGATCATTAATGTATTTATGTAGTTATCTTCTGAATTCATAGATTATTGCCATTGTCATTTAGATCAATTGTGATGTAAGTACAAAGTCGCGACTTTAAATATAATGTCTGAATGTAATGCAACTTAAACCTAAATAAATTTATATAAGACCCCTTCAATTAAATGCTCTTAAGTATGTGGTATTCTATATTATTATAAGATAATGACAAATTTAATAAAGCTTTTACATGCTGAGCCATTTCTTTTATTCATCTCATTTTCTCGTCATTATTCTATCCCATTTTCATTGCTTTTTACAGTTTTGAATGAAAATAGGTTGATATCGTTCTACGTGGACGCGGTCGTAGATTTTGTAGCCACCACACAATCTTTCACCCAACTCTAACTGTTCCATCATCACAGTTTCGTGATGAGTTATGGATGATATGCTATGTGTATTTCTGATGACTACAAAATGAACTAATACAGTATTTGTATATTTGTAACTGTTCTATTGATTGATGATTCTGGAATCATGATAAAGAGAACTTTAAGCACTAGTATGCGTTCATCATCATTTCAGCCTATCGCCGTCCACTGCTGAACATAGGCCTCTCCAATAGATTTCCAGTGCGACCGGTTCATTGCCACCTGCATTCAACGAGACCCAGCGCTTTTTACTAGGTCGTCGGTCCATCTAGTAGGTGGCCGTCCCACACTGCGCTTGCCAGTACGCGGTCGCCACTCCAGGATCTTTCTGCCCCATCGACCGTCCTCTCTTCGTGCTATGTGGCCGGCCCATTGCCACTTCAGTTCACTAATTCTACGGGCTATGTCAGCAACCTTCGTTCTTCTACGGATCTCCTCATTTCNGCCCCATCGACCGTCCTCTCTTCGTGCTATGTGGCCGGCCCATTGCCACTTCAGTTCACTAATTCTACGGGCTATGTCAGCAACCTTCGTTCTTCTACGGATCTCCTCATTTCGGATTCGATCACGTAGAGAAATGCCGAGCATAGCCCTCTCCATAGCTCGCTGCGCGACTTTGAGCCTTCTAAAAAGATCCCTAGTGAAGCACCACTACTAGTATGCGTTACGTGATTGATATAAGTATTTTTAAATTTAAGATATTTTTTTCATGTCAAATAAAGTCCATTAACGATCGCGAAGTGACGAGGTTAAATGCAATAATCGGTGTAGTAAAATACAATGATACGGCTTTAGTTACGATGCAATGTAGTTCGAATTCACGAACAGAGTTACGACTGCCAAATGAACACGTTACTAATGAGCGAAAATTCGCGGAATATCAGATTGCAATTGCAGCTCTATTTATTGTCAGACCGTGAAAATCCGGCACGCGGAAAATACAATTGATACGGAATGGTATGGATTGATCCCGAAATAAACTAAAATTATAATTGTTCGTGTAAATTATACATTAAGATATTTTACATAGACATAAAACAGAGGTTATGTTCGTTAATAAAATATGAAACAATCTATTTTCTGAACAAATCATAATGTAGAGTACATGTAAAGGAAAAATCTAAAACAGTATGTAACTTTTCATCATTTAAAATCGTCATGTAAGTTTTCTCAATTTAATAATGTTTTAGAATGAACTGAACGCGCAAACGATATTTAAAGACCAATATATAGTTGTTACTAGTAAATATTGAAAACATTCCTGAGACTATTATTATAGCACTGAATGGTGATATTAATCAGCCAATAGATACACTATAGGTATATTCAGGACCGCGCCGCCTCTGTGTGTTAAGTGCGCACATATGCGCCAAGACAATAACCGCGATGGCATCGAAATTATTTATGTTACACTTACACAACAACAAATTATTTAAGTAAATAGGTACAATAGACGGAACATATGCCTTGTAAATAACAAAACATGTAATGCATTTATAGTACAAATCTCCCACATTGACGTCAAAACAATAAGTCAAAATTGCCAAATAATAGTCGTCGTGGCCTAAAGGATAAGACGTCCGGTGCATTCGTATGTAGCGATGCACCGATGTTCGAATCCCGCAGGCGGGTACCAATTTTTCTAATGAAATACGTACTCAACAAATGTTCACGATTGACTTCCACGGTAAAGGAATAACATCGTGTAATAAAAACCAAACCCGCAAAATTATAATTTGCGTAATCTATACTATACAGAAGTACTCTACCAGTAACTAAGCATCCTCAATAATGTTCGTGTTTTTTTAATTTTATCAGACCCTTTTCCTTCAGCATAAAAGTTCTTTACGATTGTGTAGAAGGCACGTATTCACTTAGAAACTTTGAGGTATCGAGAGGCAAACCTAAAATAAGCCACGAATTTGGATTAGTCTTGACTAAACTATTTTCATTTATAATTTATGTCCTTTAAATTATTGTTATTATAATGTAATTTGTAAAATGTCTCTCATATAGATCTAATTTTATTATCCTTAATAAATTTCGAAATTGCAAGCCGTACCTGACTTTTCTATGTCTATTATAGACCAGTAGATGCAGTCTGGTCAGTGGTCTCAAGAGTCATTTCCAATTTATCATTTGGATTTATGATACCGTTTAAACTTTTATCATTTAAAAATGCTTAAACTAAACGAACTTCAGCTCAAGATGATGATTTGGTTTCAAGATTGTATTAAAGTTTGGAAATAAAGCAAAGAATATTTTAATAGTATTTTTAAACTTTCATTCAAACTTGGTATCTTTTTGCGATATAAAATTAAAATATCATTTTAAACAAAAAAATTATAATCATTTTGGCAATAGACAGAATTTTTGCTGTGTATTTGGAACAGTTTATGTCCATTAGTGATGGTGACTACTTACTTTTAGGTAGGCTGTACGCCCTGTCTAAGAATGGCAGTAAAAATATCATTGTTAACCTTGTGCATTTAGTTACGAAAGTGTACTTTTCATTTGGTAATAAATCTAATGTTATCTTTCTTATTGATTGCATCATTCTCGAATTGAAACTTTAACCTTGTTTCTTTCTCTATGACCTTCAAATTAAGGCGCATTATGAAAATCGAACAAAAAGTTGAATACAATATGTTCATTGTCTGTAAACAAAAACCTTAAGTGGACTGCAATTTGAATTAGATATAGTTAATGTTCATCTCCTTACTCGTAGCTCGTATAATATTTTTTGATGAAGAGGAGGCAAATAACCCAATGTCCCTGACAATGACAGATTCGACAACGTTTGGCTAACGACACACACATTAATTCACACTCATCGTTCTGTATACTGAGATTTAATTGCCTAAATTTATCACAATAGTTGTTAATGTGTTGTAGGTAATAAATAATACTAGACCAAGCAGTTTATACTTTATCCTAAATTACATGATGATCTTAAGGAAATTTCTTACTTAATCTTACTGGATGGTAAGTAGGATAGTAGGACCTCTTGTGAGTCCGCACGGGTAAGTACCACCGCCCTTCCTATTTCTGCCGTGAAGCAGTAACGCGTTTCGGATTTAAGGGTGGGGCAGCCGTTGTAACGATACTGAGACCTTAGAACTGATATCTTTTTTTTATCGCTTTTGTAGGCAGACGAGCATACGGCCCACCTGATGGTAAGTGGTCACCGTCATTCATGGACATCAGCAATGCCAGGGGCAGAGCCAAGCCGCTGCCTACTATAAATATCTCAAGGGGGGTGGCGCATTTACGTTGTAGATGTCTATAGGCTCCAGTAACCACTTAACACAGGGTGGACCCATCTAAGCAATAAAAATTTTTTAGGAAAATACTAAATATACCAAAACAACTGTAGATAATGCTTACCGCTCGATCAGCCAGGTTTCGGACTTTGCAGTGTAAGTACGCAGGCTGTCCAACAGCAGCGGTGGCTTCGCGCTTCGTACTGTTGTCGAAGTACGGCTGCCCTAGAGGTTCCCAACCTCCGCCGCCGGCTGACACACCTGTTAAAACAAAACAATTACAGCTTATAGTGAGGGGTAGATCTCAGGGGTATTTTTATTCATTAACTACCTGACCCAGCAGACTTCGTAGTGCCTCAATCGATAAATGAAAGACCTAAACTTTTGTATAAAATAAACTTAAAACAAACAAAAGGAATCCGTCCGACGGGGGACACATGAAATGAAAAACAAAATTGTTATTGTTGTTTAATTCCGAGCATTTTCATATTTATCTGCCTTTTAAACCATCTCTGGACTTCCACAAATAATTCAAGACCAAAATTAGCCAAATCGGTCCAGCCGTTCTCGAGTTTTAGCGAGACTAACGAACAGCAATTCATTTTTATATATATAGATACTATGGGTTAGTCACTAGTATCGAATTTCGCATTCTAATCTTGTCTTAAACACAAACAATTTTCAATTTAAAATTATAATTACAAATAAGACGCGGGCGCACGCTACTCACACTCAAAACGGAAGCACCCGGAACATAGATTATACACTTCTCTGTCAAAAGACGGACATAGATACTAAAAACTATGTATAGTATAGGCATACGGCCGCGAGAGTGACGTACAGGTCGGTTTGCTATAAGCACAATTTCATTACAATAGTACGTACCCAGATAACTTAACGACTCACCCTATAGTGACCGGCTGCCGTAGCGAATTTATGATATTTAAGAATACTACACGATAAAAATAGACAGGATTTTTTTTATTCCTTCGATGGGTGGACGAGCTCACAGCCCACCTGATGTTAAGTGATTACTGGAGCCTATAGACACCCACAACGTAAATGCGCCACCCGCCTTGAGATATAAGTTCTAAGGTCTCAAGTATAGTTAAAACTTAGGTTAGGTTATAAAATAGGTTATGTTAGGTTATAAAAGGTTATAAAAATATCCCCTAATTTTGAACTCATAATGTCTCAAAATGTGTTAAGTTCCAAAGTGGACTGCACACTCGTCTACGTAGTCATGGCAATTAAGTTTTGTTGAATATTGTATTTACTTCCTATTTATAACTCAAACATTTCCGTGAAGCAAAGCCGTATTTGAAAGTTTGTCGTGAAGTCTTCTATGAAATTACAACTTCCTACTTAAAGTTTCCTTTTGATTTCAAACTTTAAATAAAATTTATTTATTGGAATAAATTCATCTGACTTTGTAATTTGATCTTTAAATATATTGTCTTTGAACTTTTGAGCCGATATTATAAGCAAATCCTAATCACTTTGATATTATTATTTTTAAATTTTATTGCTAGTTTTTCAATGATCTAAATTTGTTTTTTAATGCAGTTTTGTTTAAAGATTGACAATTTTGAAATAGAAAGAAACGATTTTTGTCGTGTACATGCATTTTTTTATTTTTTTTTATTGCTTAGATGGGTGGACGAGCTCACAGCCCACCTGGTGTTAAGTGGTTACTGGAGCACATCTACAACGTAAACGCGTCACCCACCTTGAGACATAAATTCTGAGGTCTCAATGCAGTCACAACGGCTGCCCCACCCTTCAAACCGAAACGCATTACTGCTTCACGGCAAAAATAGGCAGGGCGGTGGTGCCTACCCGTGCGGACTCACACGAGGTCCTACCACCAGTAAAATACATAGTATTAAATTACATTTATTAAAACAAAACGTATTTATTTTGAAGAAATCATGGCCTAAAGGATAGGGACGCCCATCGTTTAGAGCGATGCGACTGTGCCGGTGTTCGAATCCCGCAGGCATGTATATTTTTTCTAGAGAAATGCGTATATGTTCAGGAATAAGTTGCAAGACGAAGGAATAATATTGCGTATAAATAACAAAACCGCGAAAATTTTAATTTACGTAATTACTGGTGGTAGTTCAGTTAGGCCAACCTGCTTATTTCTGCGGTGAAGCCGTAATGCGTTTCAGTTTGAAGCATGGGGGCAGCTGTTGTACTATAAAACTGAGATTTAGAATTCATTTCTCAAGGTGGGCAACGTGGGTGGCGGCAATTACGTTGTTGATGTCTACAGGATTCAGTGACCACTGAACGCCAGATAGGCTGTGAGTTCGTCCACTCATCTAAGCCATAAAAAAATGCCTATTTTTCAACATCAGCGTACAAAAGTTCAGGACTAAAGAACTTAATTTTGTCATAAAAATATGATATGAACTTTACATGTGAATCATAAATAACAGGAAATGTATTTTTAATGTTATTTAGTGAGCGAACTATTTTTGTTTTTGTTTTTATATAAACCGCTTAAAATAAACTACGCTCCATATTCAATGAATGGGTAGTACGTTAAAAACTTTTTCCTCTGTAGGACTAGAGTTGTTTGAGTGTAAAATGTATTCATTTATTAAATTAACATTTTACTTTATAAGCTACAGTGAGTATAAAAAAAAGTTCAATTAGTAAGTGGGCCATAAACTGGATAGGCAAATTGTATTTAGTGGTATTTAGATACATCCGCAGTAACTTTGAATCTCGTAAAATGTTTTTCCGTTTTGAGAGTTTTCGGAAATGTTCCGATAATAGCTATTAACATTTTACGTTATAAGCTCCAGTGTTTGAAAGTGTGTTACAGGGAGTTTGAAACGGAAAAACGGGTCTCAGTATAATTTTAATAACACACTAAGTTAGTAAATTTTAGACGCGACTTGTTTAAATATGTTACAAGTGATGGTAAGAATGTACAAAAAAAAAGTTCAATTAGTAAGTGGGCCATAAATTGGATAGGCAAATTGTATTCAGTGATATTTAGATACATCCGCAGTAACTTCGAATCTCGTAAAATGTTTTTTCTGTTTTGAGAGTTTTCGGAAATGTTCCGATAATAGCCATTAACATTTTACTTTATAAGCTCCAGTGTTTGAAAGTGTGTTCAGGGAGTTTGGAACGGAAAAAAAGGTCTCAGTATAATTTTAAAAGCACACTAAGTTAGTAAATTTTAGACGCGACTAGTTTAAAATATGTACGAAGTGATGGTAAGAATGTACAAAAAAAAAGTTCTATTAGTAAGTGGGCCATAAATTGGATAGGCAAATTGTATTTAGTGATATTTAGATACATCCGCATTTACTTCGAGTCTCGTAAATTTTTTTTTTTCCGTTTTGAGAGTTTTCTGGAATGTTCCGATAATAGCCATTAACATTTTACTTTATAAGCTACAGTGTTTGAAAGTGTGTTACAGGGAGTTTGAAACGGAAAAACGGCTCTGAGTATAATTTTAAAAACACACTAAGTTTGTAAATTTTAAACGCGACTAGCTTAAAATATCTAAGAAGAGATGGTAAGAATGTACAAAAAAAGTTCAATTAGTAAGTGGGCCATAAATTGGATAGGCAAATTGTATTTAGTGATATTTAGATACATCCGCAGTAACTTCGAGTCTCGTAAAATGTTTTTTCCGTTTTGAGAGTTTTCGGAAATGTTCCGATAATAGCCGAACTCGTTGGAGTCCAGCCTCCATTAGTCCGATCCCTTTCGACGATAAAAACGTGCTTTGTTTCCCGTCACGTCCCGTTATTTTTTATTCCTCCTTCTTTTTTGCATTATCCGGGTGTATTCTGCAAATATTTCATTATGTAGTCAGCCTATTATTGAAAAAGAATTTTCTGTTGTTGTAGCCGAGATAAAAGGGTTTCATTTATTTCAAATGGAATCCAAATTACGTTTAGGCCATGACTGTTTTTTTTTATTGTTCAAATAAAAAAACGATTTAGTTAGACTTCACACAATACTAAAACGTTAATTAAGTCGTAATTTTTTTTGGAATCACTGAAGAACAATTGCTACACACTTTATAGGTTCCACTAATAACATAAATTGAAGTAAGTGGTTTTTATAAAACCGAAAATTGTGTATAAAAGTGTACGATCCAACTAAAACGAAATAAAATGTAAATTTTACGAGAGTGTGAGTGTTCTCCTGAGTGGCTTCACACCGCTTGATGTTCTGTGCGTAGTAGGTGCGCAAAGATCTAAATTGAACTGGATTTATTCCAAGAAAGGTTTTTCGTTCTTTATTACATAAATGGATGAACCAGCTCGTCACTCTCCCGGTTAGGTTAAGCAATAACCAGGGTCGATAATATGAATGCTTGAGACATGAGGTCGAAATCAATTGTGTTGCATTAAGACTATCTCAATCTTCAAGCCGTGCTTAACCGTTTTGCGACTAAAATAGGCGGTAAGAGAATAGTGTTACTAATTACACGCGGCAATGCCTTCGTCCTACCATGTGTAAAATTTAGCATATTATATAATTCCTTTTCACTTATTTTTTTATTGCTATTTAAAACTGAGATTTTACAAGTTCACAATAAGATATCGAATTTACATAGTTTGTTCTGTGCAATAAAGATATATGGCTTATATTTAATTTCATTTCTGATTTTGATTGGATTTTGCATATGTCTTCAAAATTATGTAGTTAAGTCTGTTGGTCAATTTTTTTATTTTATTCCTTCATTGGTGGAGTTGATTGTGGAGTTCGTCACAGAACGTACGTCGAGAGACCATTTCTATTTCGTACTATTATAGAAATCACACAGATTTATGTTAAATGAAATATTTATTATTCACGACTGTGACGCAGAGCGATGTCTTAGAGATTAGTAATGAGAAAGGCGAGAAATTAATACAATGTGTTCAAAATTATGCATGCAAAATACATGCAATTATACCTATTATTTTTAGTTATACTAAATATTATATTTTCGTATTGAATAACGTTCTCTAATGTTATTTTGCTTATTAGTCGTTTCGAACGTAATTAGGTCGATCATTTTAAAAATAATCTAAAAATATACTGCAGTACTATTCTGAAAAGAAAAAAAAAAAACGCTTTGTTCTTTGATTCATTGATTTCTTTTAATAATGAAGAATTAAATTCTTAGATTACATTTTTGTTTTATTGTTTATGTTAATCTTCATTAAATGTGTACCAGTTGGCTACAAGCTATCGTTATACGATTCACGTCTTTTGATGATTGTTCTTTCTTGTCTTTGATCATTGTTCGACCTGACATCGACCAAAAACGTTTCTTGATAATTTGAAATAAATAGACATTTAAAATAAAATCAGTGATTTTTATCAATTTACTAGCTGAGCCGGCAGACTTCGTAGTTAGTGCCTCAATCGATAAATAAAATACCTAAACTTTTGTATAAAATAAACTTAAACAAACAAAAGGAATCCGTCCGATGAAGGACACATAAAAGGGAAAACAAAATTGTGATTTTTATTTAATTCCGAGCATTTTCGTATTTATCTACCTTTTAAACCTTCTCTTCCGGACTTCCACCGGACTTCCACAAATAATTCAAGACCAAAATTTACCAAATCGGTCCAGCCGTTCTCGAGTTTTAACGAGACTGACGACCAGCAATTCATTTTAATATATATAGATAACCAAACTCCTGTTCGTATCTATACATATGATTTGAAGTTATTCTAAATCATTGATCCAATTGATCTCAAACTACACGTACGCGCCGTAAATATTAGCATTCCACAACGAACAATAACGTTTGGTGGAACATAAACCGAATAGATTTATGTTCACTGCTATATTTTAAATGTACTAGTATTCCTATTGCGGCGCTCTCTCTATATTGTAATGGAAGAGACAGTTTTATTTTCTCTTGTAGTGAGATGTCGATATTTTATTTGGTTCAGTACTAGTTTACTAGTCGATTGTTTTAAAACTAGATAATCGCATTGCATCATATTGAGTTTTATTAGTTCTGAATGCACGGGATGTGGTAACGTTGATGATGTATAACATTTAATTATAGAGAGTGTGCTGAACGAGCTTCTTGAGTGAAACTTGCTCAATGAAGAGAGTATTGTATCAATAAGGTACTGGCTGGCTAATGCGTTTTCTGGATACGCCAGTTTCAGATGTGACCAAAAAGTTGTATTTAGATTTTAAGTATCATACATAGGGCTTAAGATTGAATGGTTAATAATTTGCAAATTTTGTACGGTTTTTACATGACAAGCGTTACATGTCATAGAGACATAAACCATCCTTTTTTAATACGCTTTTATTAGCTTCAGACGTATGTATGTTTGTAACGGAATCTTTGAACATGATTTTGACCCCCTTCAAAACGTCGGATTAACTCGAAATTTTGTATACTTGCTAAGGGCCGATGACAATTCAATATTAAAAAAAATATTGAAAAAATTGAATATCAAACTAAAAAATAGAAAATATTTTTTTACAATAAAATAATTTTTTCTTACACTATTTTAAATTCAAATTTATAAAAAAAATATTTTCTATTTTTTAGTTGGATTTTCTATAAAAGTGTATTTTGTTACTTTTTTTAAACTATTATTTATTTAAATTAAGAACTTATTTAACGACAATAATTGAAAAACGCGTTGAACAATATTAGAAGTAAGAGAATCAAAAAATCTTTAAAACTTACCGAATAATATGAAGATACAACTCAGTTCTGCCGTCCACATTGTTAAACGTACATCAATTCACATTATGTGTCCAAAACATAACACTTCACTGTTTTTCACCACACAGTTTACTTATTATTTCACCATGAAAATATAGTCATGTCCATTTTAAAACACTTTGATTTTGAATGGAACTACTTTCATGGCATAGAACACCTCAGTTTGCGATCAAAAAATTATCTTAATATACTGAAATTTTAGTTTATTCACGGTTTAATTTGAATACGTAGTATTGCATTCAGGAGAGAGAGAGAGAAAGACGAATCGGAGTTATGGTAATCACTTAATGTTAGACTATCCGCGAGCTTCTCTAGAACCCAATTAAAAAAAACAAAAACCTAATAAATATACAAAAGTCAAAATCCTGAGTTTACAAAGGCAAAACTTATAATCTTTATGCAATATCCGTAAGGATTGTGTATTTCCTGTATTTTTCGCGAGTAAGTTAAGATTCGTTTATATTCAATTTTATTTATTATTATTTGAAATTGGTCATAAACGCATATTATGTCGTACAGTGATTTTAGCTGTAATTTTTGGTCGGGTCCCCCTCCATAGCTTAATTAGATTTTATCATCTCTACAAGGTCTCTCTATAAATATTTCTGGTACTGTAAGGTCTAATATCATATACATATAATACGATGTTATTCTTAAAAAGTCTTTATTTGAAATTGTTGCAGACTCAAATTATATGGATATTGTATTTATCGTTTTCCTCAGTCTTGTGTATAATTCAAACCATTTTAATGGTTAAATCCATACTGCTTTATTAATTTTACATTTTACGATATCTCAAACACTATATTCGTGGTTACGGACCTAGTTATAATCACGAGGTCGAACCGTAAAAATAGTATTAATTATGAAAATATGAAGTTCACAGAGTAATAAGCAATTTACATAAGTCGATTTGTACTAATATGTAAATTGACTGTTGAAATTCTGTTTTCGAACCGAAGTTTCGCAAATGCAGAAGCTTAAAAGGCTCACTTTCGTCTAGTCACTTCATGCCGGGAGCATAACTAACCACTAAGTTGTGGCTACAATTCTGCAATCATTAATGAAGTCATATCCAAGTTAGTAAGACTTTACCTGTACATGTCGTACATATTTAAATGTACTAAAAATCTCAAATTTGTTTGCGAAACGGCTGTATTTCCTGAGATATTTTTTTTATTACCCTTGTAGACAGACGTGCATACGGCCCACCTGATGGTGAGTGGTTACCGTCGCCCATGGACTTGAGCAATGCCAGGGGCAGAGCCAAGCCGCTGCCTACCGTTTAATACTCTCCACAAGCCTCGTTTGAAGAAGGACATGTCATAGCGCTCGGGAAACACCGTGGAGGGGAGCTCATTCCATAGCCGGATGGTACGTGGCAAAAAAGACCTCTGGAAACGCACTGTGGTAGTATGGATGAACTCTACTCCGGTGGCGGGCGGTGCAATGGTAAAAACGAGATGCCGGTATCATCTCGAACAATTCCTCAGAGCACTCCCCATGGAACATACGGTAATTCAGATGTTACTCAAATGTAATTATTTAGTAATTCAGAATAGTGAACTGTGCTTAATAGTTGTATTCAAAAGTGTATACTCTGGTATTATGAATAGCTTATTTGGAGGAATCGACAAAGAAAAGATCCTCCATAGAGAGGTTGAAAATGATTGGTCTACGTTCCAATTCTTCTGATCTTGCATATTTGCAAGCTCATCTTTAAAATGTCGTTAACACGATTAGCATTGGATTGACAGGCATCAGTGATATATATCGGTGAAATTGTATTTTACCTATATTAAAGTGTTTTAGGTATTTAATATCAAATGATTTAACAGAAAACTGTTTACTGAAAATAAATCTATAATTATTATACACAATTATGTATATTACAAAATCTGTTTGGATATAAGTCAACTATCTTTTGGTTGTGAAATCAACTAATTCCATAAAAAGGAACAAGACCAAGACCTAACAAATGGCTAGCGTGCGACTAAAACTTATTTATTAGTGAATATCTGAGATTTTCCGATGCCAATTTGGCCTTGTCAAAGAAGTAGCCGGATCGAACCGCATCTGAAATGTCGACAGCCGCAGATTCCAATTTTCTCGAGATATTAAGGTCAGTTGTTTTCTAGTTGTAGACGATCGGGACAAGTATTTTATAGCAAAAGACCGCACTGGTACTTGTTTTAATACAGCATTATAAATTAATTTTTACAGTAGAATCATTTACACAATAAAATTTTAAGTTTGCCAAAGTCCGAAACACCTTTAAATTAAAATTCGTAAAATAAAAAATGTCTTTAAGTTTCGACCGCTAAACAGACGCTAGAATTTTTTGGTTATTATTTTGTTAACCGTTTACGCACAACGGGGAACTATTTGTATTTTCTAAAAGTATTTTTGTTGGAATGGAAAGGCACGTCCCCTCGGGTGTTTAGTGGGTATAAGTGGTACATAAGGACCATAATGTGAATACCGACGCCCGCCTCCCGACATAATGTGGCTTCAAATGTATTGGAATAGCAGTTGTCATAATGTTCGAAACAGAATTCATGTGGGTTTTCGAGAAAAATAAAACGCAAACTATAGGCAGGACAAATCGCCTTACCCACATTTACTCATATAAAATGTTCCTTTTTTTTAAATTATCATTTCTTCACCAAGGCATTCGTGCAAAACAAGTTGTATATATTAGTCTCGAGCTTATGATACTTATTTTAAAATTACGGATGTTTAACGGTTTCTGAAGCAAGAAGTTACGGACGCTTTGAAATTGAAAACTCACTACGTTTATTTAGCTCGAAAAAGCTTAGTTGGCAATCGTTGTTTAGGCCAATCAATTCAGACCACCGTAAAGTGACCATACTATTTTTTTATAGTGGGAACCGAAGTTTGAATTGAATTGAAGTTGCGTAGGTATATACACTTAGCAAACATTTGTACTGTAATTTTGATAATTGTTTTTTTTTTTTTATTGCCTTTGTAGGCAGACGAGCATACGGCCCACCTGATGGTAAGTGGTAACCGTCGCTCATGGACGTCAGCAATGCCAGGGCAGAGCCAAGCCACTGCCTACCATAAAACCATTGATAAAATACTGGTATAATGGTAAAATATCACTGGTGGTAGGACCTCTTGGGAGTCCGCACGGGTAGGTACCACCACCCCGCCTATTTCCGCCGTGAAGCAGTAACGCGTTTCGGTTCGAAGGGTGGGGTAGCCGTTGTAACTATACTGAGATCTTAGAACTTATATCTCGAGGTGGGTGGCGCATTTACGTTGTAAATGTCTATGGGCTCCAGTAACCACTTAACACCAAGTGGGCTGTGAGCTCGTCCATCCATCTAAGCAATAAATAAAAAAACCTACCATTGATAAAAGTATACAGTTGTATTGTACCATACGTACCTGCAGAGGTTACTTGAAACACCACCCCTTATGTAACGATTCTTTAAGCGTATTCAAAAAGCTTCACCTTCGTCATAAACTTTAAAAAGAAATTTTAGAAACTAAAATTCATTAATTGATAGCTTAAATTCAAATTTAATAAATGTCTCATTGTGTGTGTAGTAATAGAAACTTTATCTAGTTAAATTGGATTTGTAATAACTTGTAGGTACTTATATTATATTGATGAATTCAATTAAGTGTAAATTGATGGAAAATTGAAAATGTTTTAAAAACGTTTTCATTTATTTGCGATAATACAAGAATGAGAGTTCTGTAATTCGTGTTTTAAAGATTTTTTTAACGGACTACTACTTCGAATATCTGTAAAATAAGCGTAAAATCTGAATATGTGTTAAATCGAGACTTTGTGTTCTTTTTTCAATCTTTTTTTTTCATACGTGTTCTAGGAAATTATATAAAACGTATTTTTTTTATTTTTTTTATTGCTTATATGGGTGGACGAGCTCACAGCCCACCTGGTGTTAAGTGGTTACTGGAGCCCATAGACATCCACGACGTAAATGCGCCACCCACTTTGAGATATAAGTTCTAAGGTCTCAGGTATAGTTACAACGGCTGCCCCACCTTTCAAACCGAAACGCATTACTGCTTCACGGCAGAAATAGGCAGGGCGGTGGTACCCATTCGCGCGGACTCACAAGAGGTCCTACCACCAGTAATTACGCAAATTATAATTTTGCGGGTTTCATTTTTATTACACGATGTTATTCCTTCACCGTGGAAATCAATCGTGAACATTTGTTGAGTACGTATTTCATTAGAAAAATTGGTACCCGCCTGCGGGATTCGAACACCGGTGCATCGCTCAACACGAATGCACCGGACGTNCCTACCACCAGTAATTACGCAAATTATAATTTTGCGGGTTTCATTTTTATTACACGATGTTATTCCTTCACCGTGGAAATCAATCGTGAACATTTGTTGAGTACGTATTTCATTAGAAAAATTGGTACCCGCCTGCGGGATTCGAACACCGGTGCATCGCTCAACACGAATGCACCGGACGTCTTATCCGTTAGGCCACGACGACTTTAAAACTTTAAAACGTATTTCGCACTTTAACTTTTATTAAAAATCTTATACATATATTTGTGACGATCACATTACAAAGTATTCCGACTACATATTTTATCGTAGATTGCCCACTAATAAGTTCGTATTCGTCCCAGCGAAAACAATATAGCCTATAAATTATCTTGTAAAAGTAAAAAGGGGCTCCCCGAGGGATAATATTTTTACGTTATATCCGACCATGTTAGCGGAGTTGCGGGAAGACTGTATTTATTTACATACACGTTCTGTGTATAAACATTCAACTACGTTAACGTGATGCCGCTTCGGAAGTTCCTTTTTGTTTTCGAGTATATTTTACATATTTGAGTCGTGCAGCGCATTTGAAATATGTCAGAGTTATTTGAGTTTCTTGAATAAATAATAAGATAATATACGAGGGCGACGCAGAGATTATGCAGGGTGCAATTTTAGATGTTGAGATTATAAAGACTAAAAATATAATTGGGTCATACACAAAAAGGGTAAAAAAAGTGTTATAGCAATGTATCATCTAAAAGAGCAAATT